GCCCCTTTTCTGAACTGCAGATAGCTGTTTTTCCAAATTGACACTAAATTTGATCTCTTCCCTCCCACTCCTACCCAAAGAAAACCCAATTAAATCTTAAATTTAATAGGGGTCCTATAGCTCAGTGGTTAGAGCACTCGCCTCACAAGTGAGAGACCTGGGTTCGATTCCCGGCAGGGGGAAATGTTGGGCAAGTTTCCTTACTCCACACACCTGATAATAATCCCTCAAGAAAAGAAACAATAATAATTTGGTCACTCAATCCACGATTGTTTGTGGGAAAACTTATGTGCGCACTCGACTGCCCATTTCGCCCACAAAATATACAGTCAATTCACTTTACAGTATATTCTGTGAAGCGATTTGAGATGTCTAGAAGATGTGACTCTATATCAAATGCATGGATTATTTAAGTTGTAAGTATTGAATTTCTGGCCTCCGATCGTTACAATAAGTACAAGTCATGTGTGAGGCTGATGGATAATTCTAATGAGCTAATAGATATTTTGTTAAAAGTAGTCTGACAGGCATAAACATGCATTTATAAATGCGTCAAAGTATGTTCAAGTATTTAGTGATAACATACTGTTTTCTTGGAACATACCAATATTAAACAAATTTAAGATTTCAATCCATGCGAAGAAATGTAATCTCAGAAATAGCAAGATTAATTCCTGCTCCAACCCATTTTCTAGCTCTCCACGGTAGGCAAGTGAAATGTTAATACAAATTGTAGCATCCACAGTCAGACAGAAGGTATTATTTTGAGAAATCAATACCTGTTACACAACTCTTGAGACGTGTTTCTTCCCAGTCATTGATTTGGAAACGTTGCTCGTTTTACTGTTAATCTTTCAGACAGACATGACTATATTACCCGTCATTGATTTGGAGGAAATTACTATTGTCGGATGATTCAGTTCTGCATAAGTACTGATGGAATAATTTAGCACCAAATGTCCTATACATTGCTTGTAATAATAATCCTGCAAGAAAAAAAAACAACAATAAATTGGTCACTTCAATCCATGGTTGTTTGTGGGTCACTGCTGTGCGCAATTGGCTGCCGCGTTTAATCCCGGGATTAAAGCCTCCCAAGTTATTGGATTGTGGAATGAGTTTAAACCAGTCATCCTGGTGATAAGATCAGTGTTAACACACTGTTTCCTCAGTGCCATCCTTCTTGGATTTAATTCAAAGGTGCTGACAAGGCTTTTGTATATCATACTGAGCTGAAATTCATCGTCTATCGTTACATTATTGACCAAACTAAGAATGTGGTAGGTTTTCAAGGAATACAGCAAGTCGCAGTCCCAAAGCATTAAAAACAAATCAATAACTTTGCTGAGACATCTGAGTTAATTGTTTTCATTTCCTAGCATTTCAAAGTTCTTGTGGCAGTGGAAGAAGCCGTGCCTAGTCTTTGTGGACCTTTCACTTATTGTCTTTTGCAAGATGGTTCCATTGTAAAAACAAATGCAACACAGCTCTCTCTCTCTCTCCAGCTTCTGACCATTTTTCCATGAGAAACTGACTGATAAGGAATGAAAACAGTTTGTTGTTTATAAACAGTCTTTTGTTCCTCCTCCTGGAGCAAGGATCGTCTTCGAAGCTAGTCTCACCCAGCTCCCCTCATATGAGATTGATCATATGTTTCAAATATACATAAACATTGCAAATATAATTTGAGATATTATTTAACGCAATAATTGCAGAATCCTACAGTCCGCCCTGAAGTGGGTTAAGGTTACAAACGTAAACCCACTTTTATTACTGTAATTAATGTCAAATCAGTACCATTCTCCTCTATCTCTTTCACCCCATTTGACCTCCACCCTATTTTAACATTTCAGGATTCTTAATTGTTCATAAAAAAAACATTTTACAACAATTTTTTTACCAGACGCATAATCCAACATTTATAGTAAATCATTATTAATAATTATATAAATAAAATTAAACTAACAAGGTCATACTTAAATTGTATTAACACAAAAAATAAAATATTACTTCAATTGGTGTGTGTTTCCTTTTTTTATGGGAGCACTTCTTTCAAAATATCATCTTCTAAAATGCCCAGTATATGTATCCATATTTAATTGGTATAAACATCATTTTAATTAAATACTGGAATACACAAAATAAATGATACATAAAATAAATCGAATATATCAAATAATATTAAAATAATTGACATTATAACATTTATAACAATTAAAACTACTAAAATGTGAATGTATTTGACATTTTTGGTTAGTGTACTCTCTCTTAAACCTATCAATGTTTACCCTGTCGTTTCGAGCTCACATCACATGTCCCAAATTATTTGGTCTCCACATATTCTTTAATTATTGCTCACTTTGTTTATCTTTTACCTTGCTATTATTCAGTGCACATGGAACATGGATGGGATCTGGCTTATACTCCGGGTCCAGATCAGTCAAACCCACCATGGCCCTCTTTTTAACACACAAATTACATAAACATATAAAGACAACCTTCACTTTGTTTACTTGCATTTACAAAACTTTAATTGCTACAAACTTACGCTAAATCCAGTCACAACTTCTTGTGGGAGGAAAATATTTTTAATTAGGAGTATTGTGACTGTTCAGATTGCTCTTTTCAAAGAATAGTTAGGGAGTCAATCAATAATATGCAGATTGGCCTCAAAGTCATGCTGTGACTGTTGGCTTCCCCAGCTATTTATTCGAAGGGTTGCAACATATCCAATGCAGACCTTGGAAATGCATCAGCCTGTCATATGAATTTAGAGATCAATTTGTTTTTTTCAATTTAATCTTATTTAAATTTGTCTTTGCTCTTTGGCCAATTGCTATCACATTTTTTTGCTTAAATTTTTGTTCTCGGAATATTTGTCAAAATATTTTCTGTAGCCAAAATATGTTTTTAAACCTCAGCAGGTAGCGTTGTTGGATCACACCATATCAGGTCTGAATTGACCTTACTCACTTGTGAGTAAATTTGCAATAATTTTTTTTCAACCAGTTTTAGATACGTTTAAGTTTATATGTTTTTACACTAATAAAAATAAAAGCTAAATATAAACTAACACCCAGCCAGGTGCTATAAAAATATGTAAATTCACCTGACTGCTGTTTATATTCTACTAATTTTCAAAAAAAATCTCTGGTTTTACTTTAAATTTAGTTAACATTTAAAAAAAAATCTTTGTCAATGTACGCTTGGTTTTCAATCATGTTTTTCTTGGACATTCAATCATTTGTTGTAACCAATTGTATTAAAATAAAAATTCCCAATATTATACAAAAGAGCCTTAAAATCAAGATTGTCAAGTGAGAATAACCAGACAAAAAAACAAAGTCCAGCTGCAGCCACAACTCTGCTCATCCCAAACAGTCAGTGACTTTGAGCTTGTTTTTTTCGTGAGGGGAGAGAAACAGCAGTGCTTGCAAACAACCATGTCTCTCCCCCCTTGGAGCACCTTGTTTTGCAAGGGGTGTCGGTTTCACAATTTTTTTTGAGTGAAAGGAGCAAACTTGCAGCAATTCAATACTTTATCAACAGGTGAGCTGATACAAACCAAACCCTTTGGAATGTTTATAGATTGTCGTCGATGAAAATCTGCATAAAATCTGAGAGGTTAAAGTCAGGTTTGGGGAGAAAAGAGAGAGGAGACGATGGGGAACGAGGAGGGTGAGGGCATTCATGACAGTCGCTAAATAAGCTTTTCAGCATAAAGCTGAGTTAATTTTTCCAAAGGACATTTTAATCTTTAAAAGGCCTGTCTTCTATTGTTATTAGTTTCATATTAAATCTCTTTCTCCTGTTAGTGTCTTTTTTTAATTAACCCCCCCCTGTTCTCTTGCTTATTCCATTCTACACTACTTGTGCCTATCCCCACCTGTCATCTTTGTCTCTCGGCATCACTTCTATTGTTTTCATACTGCATTGGTATGGCTTGATTGCTACGTTGTGTATAAATCCCATACCTGCATTCTTTTAGGTTTTCATCTTTTTGGACAGCAGAAGAGGATGGCCTTCCACAAAAAAAGCATGTTTCCCTATTTTGCTTCCCCTCCAAAGGGTTTTCCGCGCAATTCTTCAGACAACAAGTCCAATATCCAAAGTTTGATACAATTTCTGAATTCGCAAGAGGTTCGAATGAAAGCCCTCTGGCCCATTTCACCTCAGCCTTCAATAATACCCACCATCCGTCCTCCCATTACAGCATCAAGTTGTTCCTTAAATGAGTCCAGCATCTCTGCCACAATGACCCTTCCTGGTGACTCATTCCAGTTGTTGTTAATCTACTGGGTAAAGAAATGTCTCCTGGAGTCTGTCATAAAGTTATCCTTTGCAACCCTGAATTTATCCCCTGTTGTTCTGATGACTTCACATATCAAAGTATTGTTCTGGATTTATTTTCCCAATCTCATTTTAAAATTTTATGCAAGGTCCCCTATGAGATGTCTCTTCAAGAATGAAAGCACTAACTAGTACAGTGAGTACCTCAGAGGTGTAGGAATGCAGCTCAGGATGTCTCACTCTCACAATTTACTGCACTAGGGAGAACTAAGTGAGTAGGCAAGACTGCATTTAGAATATTAGTTGGAATAGGAGGAAGGAGGAGGAAATCATCTGCGCTCTGGGACATAACCCCGCTTGAAGGGCACTATATAAATGCATCACATAACTAACAGTTTAACATTTACAGAACTTGTCTAAAGTTGTCTGATTCACGTCTAAAATAGCACTAAGTGGATGGATACATGTTAAAAGGACACTGAAATTCTGGATAAAAGTACAATAACGTGTATAATAACTATCTGCACATTGCTTGCGATGTTAGATATTTTGTTCGGTATAGGTGATGGAGGAAAATGTTCCTGTAAAATCATTCAGCTGTTAGTGGCTTTCAGCTGTTGAAATTCTTTATCGGAGAGGAAATGTAGCTGAGTGCATCCATTTTTCTAAGACCCCAGGGAAAACTAATGCTTTGACTTGTTTGTTTGCAGAGAAACAGCGGGAGCTGGCCAGGAAGGGGTCTCTGAAGAATGGCAATGTTGGAAGCCCTGTCAATCAGCAGCCGAAAAAGAACAATGTGATGGCGAGAACAAGGTACACGCCATACAGTGCTGTAGGTTATGTCTTCAAATGTGTTGAAATGGTTCTGTATTCCTGCTATGTCCATTGTTGAAGTTTGAGATGTGCTGCTCTGAACAACAACAACAAAATTACATTTGTATAGCGCCTTTCACGTCAGGAGGACGTACCAAAGCACTGGACAGATAGCGTTACGGACCCAAGATCGGTGTGGGGGAGGGTGGAGGGCAGGGGGGAAACCCTTTTTATAACAAAGATGCTCAATTCTTGCCCATTGTCCAGCCTCCACATACAGACAAATATTTCAGTAAACCCAGGGGAGTGGAGAAATCACTTAAGCTGGCGGGGTATGAGGGGTGGCTGGGGGGTGGGGGAGAGAGGCATTAAACTGTATGTAAGGACCTTATCAAGAACCAAGCTTGTATTTTTCCCTAAAAGCGGGAGTGACTATGTTGTTTCTCAAATTGCAGGATAATGTTGGTGTGCCTAATTTCATTTGTCCTGTCCTTTTCCATACAGCTTTCTGTAAAAGTCAGCATAGATATTAGATCTTTGGCAAATGTTTTGATCTGCACGTAACTGTGGTCAATTATTTTTCAGCGGTTCTGGTTAGAAGCAGGTTGTTTTATTTTCAGCCAATTAATTGATTCTGACATCCGGATTCAACGTTTTGTAAAACTTTTCAGTAATTTTTAGCGCTGAATTTGTGTAGGTTGTTTCTTTAATGAAATAATTTTCACAATTGAAGTTTGACCTGGGCTGTACAGAGGGAAGTCTCATTATTCAATTTGCTGGCAGGAATTTTTTTGTATAAGAGTGTCTTTGCTGAATGCTTCACTAAGATGATTTGAGCTCCACGTCTTCAAAGAAGCACACGCAACTGTAGCTGCAGGTCATGAGCGTTCCTATGAATGATCCACAAAGCCAGCAAAATAAGCAATACCGTCTCAAAATGTCAGGTAGTTCTCTAATGATTGCTCAATAGCCAAAGTACCACATGTGTCATACGTACAAGTAAACCCTGCATCTCAGTCTCTGGTGAGTAGGCTGACCTCTTTGACAATAGTGTGGGGATATTACAATTGTTCTTTAGAATTACATTGCCAATAAGATTTCCTTTGTACTGTAATTGGTCCCTGAACTGTAAAAGAACAATGACCTGAGTGTCTGCTCCTGATGTAAATGAGCATTTACAGACATTTGGGGGGAGGACAGTATTGGCTCAGCTATGATGCCCTTTCTCTCTCTCTCTTTCCCCAGTGTTGTATAATACATAAACACACTATATGACAGATTACTACTTGTAAGCGTGTTTAAATGTGTCAGAGGGATGCTGGTATCTGTGAAACCGTATTCCAACCCAAGTCATAACCTTCTACACAAGGGCAAGTAAGAAGACGACAAGCTGGATTAATGATGTATATTTTTATAAAGGTCTGGGGCAATGTCTCTGCAGCCTGATCCAGCAGAAGTCATAAGACTACCCAACCTAAGCTTCCATGATGCATCCAGTACCTTCTGACGAGAGCATTATAGGGATTGATAGGATTGAAGTCTTTACCTGGTGTCAGCACCTACATTAGCATCAGTTAATCCCAGGGCAGCTGCAGTCAGCACATAGTGGTTGAAATATAAGTGTCTAGATGTGTCCATACGTAATACTGTTCAAGGTAGAATTTATAGAAAATGTCTTTACTCTCTGCCTCCCCCTTGACTCCAGGACCACTGCTATCCTGACAGAATGTCTGTCAGATATCCAACTCCTGGATGAGAGTTAATTTTCTTCAGTTGAACGTCTAACAAGACCGAGGCTCTCCTGATTGGCTTCCAACAGCGCCTCCTCACCTCAGGCATTGGCAGCATCACCATCCATGGTTGCACCCTCCTCCTTGCTAAGCCAGTCCGGAACCTTGGCATCTTTTTGACCCTTAACTATTCTTTCTACCCCACATCTGCACCATGACCTGCCTGCTCTGCCTTCCCCCAACTCCACAACATCGCCCGGCTCGACCACTGTTTCAGGCCGTCAAAACCCTCATACATACTTTGATTACATCGAGGCTTCACTATGCAAACTCATTGCTTGTCGGCCTCTCCAACTCCTCCCTCCATAGGCTGCAGATCATCCAGAACTCTGCAGCCCGTGTCCACGTCCGCACCAGGCTCCATGACCCTATCACACTTATCCTCGCCTGACTCCACTGGCTTCCCATCACACAGAGGATACAGTTCAAGCTCCTGGTCCTCACCTTCAAAGACCTCCATGGTCTTGCTCCCCCCTACCTCTGCAACCTCCTAAGCTCTGGCCTGCTTCATGTCTCCTGCCTCGCTCGCCCCACTATTGGCGGGGGGCCTTCTGCCATTCTGCCCCCAGCCTCTGGAACTCCATCCCGCAGTCCCTCCGCCTCGCCCTCTCCCTTGCCTCCTTCAAAACCCATCTCAAGACCCTCCTTTTTGACCGTGCTTTTGATCTCCCTGCTTCCACCCCGCCCTCGACACTCGCCGCCCCTAAGCTCGAGTCTGAAATGTTGTCCAGCATCTTGGGACGTCCTCCCGATGTGAAAGGCGCTATACAAATGTAATTTTGTTGTTGTTGTTACTCCTGTTATTTTCCATAATCCTAGTCCGTTGCTGCTCTGAGTAGAAATTGCTGACCTGCTCAAGATATATTGTGCTGCTCATAGGGAGTGATTGTCATGGCAAGCTGGTAATCGATTCATTTTTTTGATAACAAAATAACAGAATGAATCATCATTGTATTTGGTCTGCTTAATCTTTTTTCACTTCACTGTTTTTAGACAATTCATATTGCAGAATCCTTCCAATTTGTTCTAACTGTGATATCTTCAGATCCGTTTGCACTGCTGCACCTCTTTCGGAAGATGATGTGTTTCAAATGATACGAAATCTCGGTTGAGCTCTCAGCCTTTTCACAACTACTTTATTTGTAAGCAGTTAATAAAATAAGATGCAAAATGCAATGCCTGAAAAGCACTGGAAGCTGATTCGATAACAACTTTTAAAAGAGAAGTATATAGATATTTCGGGAGGGCAAGTTTGCAGGGCTATGGGGAGGGAGCAGGGGAGTGGGATTGAATTGGATAGCTCTTTTCAAAGAGCTGGGACAGACACGATGGGCTGAATGACTTCCTTCTGTGCTGTATAATTCTATGAAATGATATTCAGAAAGAGAACTGAAAGCTATTTGTGCAACTTTTAATCATTTATTTTCCCTGATTGTAAAATTTACATTAAAGTATATAGCATTGAAATGAACTCACTTTTTTGGGTCAGCTAAAAACACATGCAGAAACCCATCACCAAGCTTAAGAGTATTCAAGACAGATACTCATGCTACCTACATATGGAAATGTTCCTGTGTCTGGAATGGAAATTCCACTCTTTCCCTGGAGGGATGCTCCCTGCTTACCTAATTCTGGAAAATATTAGGCTCAAGTTGGTGAGAGCAATAAGGGTTGGGGATCTCAGTGTGTGATGGGTAGTACTGCAGTTCAACCGGCTAAAAGAACAAATTGTTATTACAAACCCTTTCTAGGAAACTTTCTACAAGTTGTCCAGCTAGCTTTGGATCAAGATTAACAAGACCCTGCTTATTTTCTCTATTCCCCTCCCCCCACCCACACGCACTCCCAAAGGGTAATATGAATTTGCATTTTATGTGTTCTCTAATGTAGTCATTATTGATTATTGGCAGGCTGGTTGTTCCGAACAAAGGATATTCTTCGCTAGATCAGAGCCCAGATGAAAAACCTTTGGTTGCCCTGGATACAGACAGGTAATTTATTCCTACTTTTTCATTTCTTGTTAATTTTAGTATAATTTCTCTTATGTGTTTAGACTATTCCGGATTGATTTAATTCAAACTTTAATTTGCGGTTCTTTGAGATTAATTTTAAACCAGGGTCCCAGTGAAAGATCTACTTAACCTGCTGCTTCTCCAGTTCCCTAACATTATTGCTTTCATTATTTTAACCATTTAGAATGCTGTTTGTTCATGTTAGCAAGCCAAATGGGATTTTCAACATCCCAAAGGGAAAGGAAATAGCTATATTATTACTGTATTTTTATAGACATTGTTCTTTTAAGAAGCTTGCAGTATGTCACTTAATTAGCTGAACTTCTCTTAGGTTTTCATATAAGGCTGACATGTGAGGAAAACTCTTATTCCATTTTGATTGTCCACAAACACCAGAAAGTGTTGTTTCGTCATCTGATCTTTACTATAAACACGTTCCAGTGGGACGACCTTCAAGGTCCTTGCACTCCTACAATTCCCTTCACACATTATCACCTCTAACTTGATTTCCTCCTACCCATTCCTCTGCTTGGCTAACTCGAACTTGCTGCACATCCCCTACCCCTTGTGCACTGCCATAGGTTCTTCATCCTCAGCCTCTGGAACTTCCTTCCTCTCTCTCTCTGTCGTCCAAGTCCCACTTCAAAACGTGCATCTTTGACTACGCCCATGGTCACTTAGCCCCTTCTTCTTCCCCTGTTCGGTGTCAAACCTGTCACTCAAGTGCTCCAATACTTTATCCTGCCTGAAGGGTGCTACGTAAATGTAAGTTGTTGTTTAGCTGTACAATTTAAGGAAAGTTGTTGTTTAGGCAAACAGTTTTATGAATAGTTCTACAGCAGCACTTGAAAAGTTTCTTTACATATTAATTTTGTGAGATTTCACTCTCACTTGGTTATTAATCACAATTTCCTCAGCTAATAACCACCAGATCTATAGAACCCAAGACCTTATCTGTTCTTAAGGTTGCTGTTTTTTGATTTTTATTATTTTTAATTTGTCATAATATCGTCATTCACTTTATTTTTGTGGATTTTTCTTCATTTTTAGCGATCTCTTCGAGTGCAAAAATGGCCGAACTTGCAGGTCGTAAGGTTGCCATTGATGTCACTTCCTTTGATTTTGGAGGGGCTTCCTGCACATAGTGCGTGGGAAGTGAAGTCTGTGGGCAACCTTACAACCGAGAAGTCTGACCTTTTTGTAGTTAGTATCTATCAATTGGAATTAACTTTCTTGATTTGGAGATATTTGGAAGCCCATTCAAAAAACAATTAAAATCAGAAACTGGCAAGCCTATCTATCCTCAATGTCATCTCCCAGTTAAGAAATCTTCCTAGAACCCTATCCACAGAACAGCACTGTCTTGTGTTGCTCTCTAATATGTCAGGACTCCCTGGTGAAAGTTCAAGTTCAGTGTTCTTTGTGCAGAATCCATTTCCTGTGCCAACTCGCAGAAGCTCCTCACAGAGCTATTTTCAATATGGTCTTAACCTTAACTCCAAGACACTGTGTAACCTTGATGGGCGCTTTGTCACTGCAGTGCTCCAATTTAACTTCACTACTTTGTTTAAGACTGTACATGAAAACTGCATTTTTAAAATCTTCATATTGCAACACAGAAACGCCTCTTCCCCATCAGGTCTAAATTGTGCAACACTCCTCCATGTGTGCTGCCTGATCCCACCATCCTGCTCACGTCCCACACTCTATTTAAAATATTCAAAAAAACAAGCATTTTCTCCTTTGAAGAAAAATCATATTCCAACCTACATGTGTAAATATTTATTTCTAACCTTTGTGATTATCTTAACTTTATACTGAGAATTTTCTGTAAATCTGCTCCCTTTTCTTTCCTTGGAAGCACTTCCATATTTTCTTTGCGACTTGGACTCTTGGGTGTACTTTGTCAATGCTTTTTAAAAGTCTAGTCTACGCTCTTGGCTTCCTATTATCAATCTCGGGCATTGCTTCCTAAGGCACGTCTGAAGTTGGTCAACTTAAGACTTGCTGTTTCAGCTGGATTAGCTGTAATTTTTACACAGCTGCTCTTTCATTCTTCATCTTTCCAGTCTCTATTCATTGATTCCCTCAAAGTGACGGTCAGTGTTTCTTAAATCTCTTCCCGTGCTCTCGACATACTGCAGGATATAGTTCATCTGCTTGTCCAATTTTATTTGTTTTAAGTCCCTTGAGCCTACCTAGGAGCTCTACCTTATGTATGTCAAAGTCTTAGCTTGTCCAAAGTTTGTTAGATGGCCTGGTGCTTGTATCTTACCTGTCAAAAGCCTGAAAGTTCTATTTCATAACAAGTCAATATCGGCAGGTTTACAATTGAGACATGTAGAGCTTGTATCTCCTTTGGGGAGATAAACCTGTCTGGTGTGTGGGCAAGGATACTGCAGTAGTAACCTGATTTATTTTGTGCTCCTAAACGTATCTACCAATTTATCGGCTGATACAATTGTAGAGAGTTTCTGAAAAGTGTAATTTACGAAGAAGATTTTTAATCACATCCATAAAACTTAAACATTTAAGTTAATTCTGTGCAGATTTTCTCTGGCGATGCGAGGGATTTTATTTTCCTCCTCCATTTGCGGCATGCTCCCCATATTAAAACCAGATGGGACTTGTTCATAAGATCAGCCCCAGAAAAGGCTTTAGTTTTACCACAAACACCATCTCCTTGCTGGAATGTTCTAATAAATGTAATGATATGTGTAAGTGATGTATGTCTGACTTATAAGAAATTACATAGTTTCAGCAAAATGAGATCCTTTTCCAAGTAACTGATTGTTGTCGGCTCAAATTGAAGGTAAGTTGAGCTCTGCAAATGAAATCCGTACCTGGAACATAAATGCTGTGCCCACTGACAATGCAAAAGACTTAAGGTAATCTTTTGAGGTAAAGTACAGATCGTTTACCTTGAAATTCTCTTTTGCAGTGATGATGACTTTGACATGTCTAGATACTCTTCATCAGGCTATTCCTCAGCTGAGGTGAGTTATTTTTTACTGGTGAAAAGAATTGAAGTACTTCAGAACACAGAAGGGTGCCATCTTGCCGTTGTCAAAAATTAGTCAGTGAACACAGCCAGCTCTCCAACTTCATGAAAACAATCAAGTTAAAACCATTAAGGGGCGTGGGGAAAGGGCTGGTTATAGGAATTATATTAAGAAAATTATTTTTTTTAAAAAAACAGGTAGCAGTGGTTTGGACACGATTAGCAGAATGGTTTGCTGTCAGATGGATGCCTGATACCAGCAGACCACAAAATATAGTTAATTCACTTTACAGTATATTCTGTGAAGCGCTTTGAGACCTCTCAAAGATGTAATAAAGCGTTATATGCAAGGATTATTTTTATTATTATTATTGACCAATCAGAGCCTGCTGTTCTGACAAATTTACCCTTTCAGCTTTCATCCATTGACACATGCTCTGAGGCATTTTGAATGAATTGGTGATTAAGTGTCGTTTGTTCTTCCCTTTATAGCAGATTAATCAAGACTTGAATATCCAGCTGCTGAAGGACGGCTACAGGTTAGACGAAATCCCAGACGATGAAGACTTGGATCTTATTCCTCCCAAATCCGTGAACCCCACCTGCATGTGTTGCCAGGCAACCTCCACTGCTTGCAATGTCCAATAATGCGCTTTCCACTGTAATTGTGTAAAACTAACAACCATTGCTTCCTCCTATGGTAGGACATGCACTTTGTGTCCATGTTTAAAACAAAAAGACAAAAAAGCAGACCATCATTGTGGCATTCAGAAGTGGATGTGAATACAGCGTTGAGATGTTTGTGTGAGAGATTGTGACTATGAATCCCACTGCTCAGCAGACGATCTACTGTGTAATTCTGACTTTTCCTTTCCCCTCAAATCTGCTGGAGGGTGGGGGGAGAGAAGAGAAAAAATATTGTAGTAGGTATGAACCGCAGCTTTGTCGTGAACTGGAAACTGGAAATCAATTCCCCAAAAGTTTTTTGTTGTGTCTCCTACAATTTCACTATTTTTGTTGAATTCAAGTTAAAGGGTGCTCCTGTTTCTCAATAAGCAGTACCAGCTTGCCATAAGTACTCAACTCAAGCCAACAATGGACAACATCAATAGCCTAAAAAGGTTCAGTGAGATCACTTTAGCTTAGACTCAATCCCGTTATGTCAAACTCATTTATGTCATGTATTCCGTTAAAATTTAGTAATATTAGGATAAATAAACATAATGCCCCCCCAAACCCTACTGCAAACAAAACTGAAGTACCCTTTATCATGGTAGCCAGGTACTTATGAACTGTGAGTTACTTATTGCACCAATATCAGGTCTTTTGCTTATTTTGTTTGAAGGTAATCTTGAATGTATTCAGTTTGTTGTGAAAAGGGAAAAATCCATTTCTTTATCAAAACATTTTATTTTTGCACTATTAGCGTTGGTAGTTATGTAATTTCACAAATCTTGGAATGAATGTATAATTTTATTTCAGGTTGTTTTGAGGGAGGTGAAGTACTGTGGTGAGGTTTTATTTGTATTTTGGGGGGAATGGATTGTATGTGATGAGGGTGGGCAATTCTGCTTCAGTTAAAGGGATTTTACAAATTGTTACAGCAAAATCTGACAGAATAAGGAAACTGTGTGAAGAGTTTACTTGCAAATATTAGAAGTGGGTAGAGATGGATAGAAGTATGCGATATATCAAGTTGAAGAAATTTTGTTGAGAAATGTTTGGAATATACTGTACTCAGAAATTGATGGCAAACAATTACAGTGACTGCTTATGGTTGTGAAATTATGGTAGAAAATATTAATTACTCTTTAGGAACCTTTACTCAAACTGCCCTTTGAGGTGTATGTTGTGGACAACAGCAAAAACAATGGACATCACAGCTACTATACATTTCAAGAAAGGCTTCATTTTAATTTCTACCTTTTATATATTTTTAGATCGTAAAATCAGAACCTTAAAGTTTGGCCAAGTTTTATTTTTTGATGATTATAAAATGTGCCAGTTGAGTAAAACTGTGAGGTCTGTCTTCCCTGCCCTCCTGCTGTGACCATGCAGTTCTTTTCCAGCTGTGGGATAGACAGAGGAGATTCAGGAGGTCCTACAACTTAATGGACTTTGTCAGTGTCACTCCATATTCTCATGGAGTCCCGTAGTGTAGTAATTCACGCTCATCTTGCAAGCGAGATTGGGTTCAATTCCTAGGCGGGGCGAAACCTCAGCCAAGTTTCCTTACTCCACACGCCTCGGTTTACCTAGCAGTAAGTAGGAACCCAGTTGTTAGTCGATCGGCGCATTGCTCTCCGGAGGAATAATAATCCCTCAATTTTTTTAAAATTGGTCACTCAATCCAAGACTGTTTGTGGGACACTGCTGGGCACAATTGGCTGCCACATTTTTCCCACAAGATATACAGTCAATCCACTTTACGGTATATTCTGTGATGCCCTTTGAGACGTCTCAACGATGTGATAAGGCGCTTTAACAAATGCAAAGATTATTATTATTGGCTACATGTTAAGCGGGTAGTCTGCCTACAATATGTTTGCCACCTCGAGACTAAACTCCACACTGCCACAAGAGCCACACTGCCATAAGTTAGAAAAGGCCGAGAATCTGTCCAGGTTGGAAATGGGACCTGGTCCACATGTTGCATGAGAGCTGTATGGTCACATGAACATCCCACTTTCAGTCAATGTCCAGGGTGGTTTGTGAAAGTGACCTAATTCGTAACAAATTTAAACATCGGGTGGGGGAATTGGTGTAAACATGCATGCAAATATCTCAATAGGAATACCACAGGTGTTTTTTGTTTTGACGGTGAGGAACTATAGACTAATTAATATGCAGCCTGATTCTCAAAATCCATAACTTTTAGCCACGCTAATGTACCACACAAATATATATATTTTAAAGAACAGTAAACTTTAATCTGTATTCTCTGAGTTGCACTTGTATTCCAGTAAAGAAATGAGGCTGATATACTTCTGCCCAGTTTCACTGGGTATTTGTACTGAACAAGAATCTCGAAGCTCATGATAGGCCTCAAATGAAAAAAGTTGACACGTTGACTTATCAATTTAAGTAAAGGGAAAAGAAGAAAAACAATTCGAGTTTTATGATTTTAAGGGGACATTCAAGGCGTCGTCTGCATGCTGAATGTATTGTGCTGTGAGATAGTATATCATTGACAACTTCAATCATAAATGCAGTGCTTCAGTCACCTAATGGATTAGTGGATCCAGAGCAGAAGTTATCATTGCACCAATCTTCTTCCCTCTCCTCAAATCCTCTTTAAGAGATTAGTTGTCATTAGTAATTGTATCAATATCCCAATGTTGTACTGTGTAGTTTCTGGTTATGCACGTGTCCTGCGCTAACACTCCATTGCAAACCAAGTGACTATTGTCTAAATTATTCAGTCTTCACGTTCCAAGTTAATGCTGCTCTTTGTAGGAAGCTTCCAGTTAACAAAAATAAGCTACTTTATTCCAGTAACTTAACTGTTTATAATGTGATCCTGTTGCACTACAATTTATTTTAATATAAAGTGTTCACCTTATGTAGGATTTTTTTTATCAGTCTTGTGATTGAATTGAAACATCCATTTTAAAGTGTGTGTTGCCTATTTTCCCACAACCCCATTTATGCGGTATCCACTAGACATTAAACTGTTTCCAGTTGCAAACGAGTGGTGTTGCAAATAGAGATACAGACCATTAACTACAAAAGCTAGCTGAAGTAAAAAGCCCACGGCAATTGGCCACTAAATGTAACAATATATATTCCCACTGGCTAACATTCACTCGTGATCTGCTCTGAATGTTGTCCAACCACAGATTGAAATTCTGAATAGCTTTTGGAAGGATAACTGATTGCAGTCAAGTTGTACGGTTCGATAGGTTCGCTTACCAATCTGCCTTTTTGTATGTTATCGAAAATAGATTGCCTTGTGTAATAGCACAGAGATTTATTTTGATAAGAGTACAACAAAATGAGAAGTCTGATAGATGGATGTTGATGCACGTGGCAGATTGATTCAGACTTTGAAATACGATGCTTGCCATTCCTTGCGATGCATCGCTCGTTTTGAAAACTACACAATGTGTAAATGTAGGCAGCCCATTCCTTCAACACAGTCTGACACGTCACCATATTTCTTGATAGGATTTGATTTGTAGTTTTCTTTGTCAGTTGCATTATATTAGCAATCAGCATATTTAAAGCACTTTGGCAAAACTTTTATGAATGTCAGACAAACTTGATCTCGACTAAAAATTTATGGACAGCTCTTTGCATTTGACTTTGCATTGGAGATTTTTTTTAACCATTGTATTTATTTAAGATTTCCCATACATACAAAATTACATTTGTATAGCGCCATTCACGTCGGGAGGACGTCCCAAGGTGCTGAATGCACTTGTACATACCGGCTATACCATCTTTCAGCTGGTCAGTCTTTTTACATCTGCCCCGCTAGGAGCAACCTTTCACAGAAGACTGCAAATGCATGGTTCAGACTCTTGTAAATTGTTTCACAGGGTATGAGATTTAATGATTTAGAAGTTTTCAATGAAGAGAACAAAAAAAACATCTAAATGAAAAGGCTAGAGGGGTTTCACGCTCACTGCACACTTAAGCAAACTGGTAGTTGAAAATAGTTTAATTCTTTCATGCAAAAAAGTAGTAATTTGTAATTCCCATTTTGTTTTGTTTTCTGGCCTGTGCTGTCACATTGGTCCAAGTTATGTACAAAAACCATGCAATTTGTTACTGACACTTGATACTCTGGTTTAGAGATTTCTGCAGCTTTATTACTTTTTTAAAAAACGCTTTAAAGAATTGCTCGCTTTATGGACACTAGAGTTTTGAGGGCGATTTGCCATCATATATTAGAATCCCTTGTGGGGGCTGGTAGATAATTTCCTCTTTCGCTCTCCCCCCGAGCCCTTCAACATCCCCCCCCCCCCAATTATTAGAGCACGCTGGGCGCTGCCTGTAATTAAATCATTGCTTTCAAAGAACTTTAGCTTAGAAGCCAAACAGCATCGCTGATTATTAGATGTCAAAGAATACATTAAGATATCCTGTACCTCCATATTGCACTTTCTTTGCTTCATTTTCTAGTTCGTAATAAAACAAGTATCACAAACTGAAAGCTAAGAATCCCACATATGGTGACCATATCTGTTTGTTTACATTTGCTTCAACTTAACCTATTTGAAGGGACAACATATGTCCTTCCATTTCCACAAACATTTTTGAAAACCCATAATGTAGATGACGTTCTTTTGTTTTATTTTTGTAAGTAGCTTTATGCCTTATGTCATGTGTTCCAACTCGATTTAATTTATTGTCAGTGTTATGAAATAATTTATTTCCTGACTTGTGCATTTTTTTGGAATATAGGAATGTATTATGTTTTTTTTAACATTTACAATGCAGTATTTGACATTGGTCATGGTCATTGTAGTGTAACATATCAAATAAAGGTGTACATGTGAAACCTTGTGGTGTCTTAACTACTTTTCCCCCAAATGGTATGCTTGTCAAATTATTGGTTATATTGTATTATGATTTGAACGTGCAGAGCTGGAGAGAAAGAAATAATGTATGTTATAGTTGCTTGATGGGCTACAGAATGTAGATTTTAAACTGATAATGTTCCACACTTCGCACATCACCTATATTCTTCCACAGGATATAATAATTTTGTCACTCAATCCATGACTGGGACACTGCTGTGCGCAATTGGCTCCCGTGTGTCGCCCACAAAATATAGTCAATTCACTTTACAATATATTCAGTGGAGCGCTTTGAGGTGTCTCGAAGACGTGATAACAACAATAACAAAATTATATTTTTATAGCACCGTTCACATCGGGAGGACGTCCCAAGGCGTTGGACAGACAGAATTTCGGCGCCGAGCTGGGGGTCAGGATTGGGGAGGATGCAGGGCAGGGGGTGGGGGGAGCAGCGAGATGTGAAAGCACAGTCGAAGAGGAGGGTCTTGAGATGGGTCTTGAAGGAGGCAAGGGAGGGGGTGAGGTGGAGCAACTGCGGGATGGAGTTCCAGAGGGTGGGAGCAGAGTGGTAGAAAGTCCACCTGCCAGTAGTGGGGCGAGCAAGGTGGAGGACGTGAAGCAGGCCGGAGGCCATTGTGTGGAGGGAGCAAGCAAGATGGTAGGGGGTTAGGAGGTCAGAGAGGTAGTGGGGAGCAAGATCATGGAGGGCTTTGAAGGTGAGGACCAGGATCTTGAACTATTTTCTGTGTGGTGGGAAACCAGTGGAGTCGGGCGAGGATGGGAGTGATAGGGTCATGGAGCTTGTGTGGGAGAGGACATGGGCTGCAGAGTTCTGGATGATCTGCAGCCTATGGAGGGAGGAGTTGGGGAGGCCGACAAGCAGTGAGTTTGCGTAGTCGAGCCTCGATGCAGTGAAGGCTTGTGTGAGGGTTTGGAGACCTGCGGTGTGAGACAGTGGCGGAGCTGAACGATGTTGCAGAGGTGGGGGAAAGCTCAGTAGGTCACGGCTCAGATGTAGGGTAGAAAGGATAGTTGAGGGTCAACAAGACCTCAAGGTTCCGGACTGGCTTAGTGAGGAGTGTGCAACCACGGATGGTGATGCTGTCAGCGCTTGAGGTGAGGATGCGCTGACAGGAGACAATCAGGAGAGCCTCCGTCTTGTTGACGTTCAACTGAAGAAAATTAACTCTTATCCAGAAGTTGATGTCTGACAGACATTCTGTCAGGACAGCAGTGGTCCTGGAATCGAGGGTAGAGGCGGAGAGAGAGTTGGGTGTCATCCGCATACATGTGGAAGTTGACCCCGTGTCTGGATGATGTCACCAAAAGGGAGCATATAGATATTGAAGAGGAGGCGACCAAGGACAGAGCCCTGAGGAACCTAACACGAGACGGTGGGGGGCTAGGGGAGAAGCTGTTTGTGGAGAAGAAGTGCAGGTGGTGTGAGAGGTACGATCTGAACCAGTCAAGGACAGCCATGGAAGGTTGAGGTGAAGGAGAGGCGGTGGATGAGAATAGAGTGGTCGACTGTTGAAGGCAGCAGAGAGGTCAAGGAGTATGAGGAGGCAGAGGGAGCCCTGGTCGCAGATGGACAGAATGTCATTTGTCACTTTGACCAGGACTGTTTCATTAAGGCTCTACATCAAATGCAAGG